GCTCAGCCCCGGCGCTCCCCCGGGCCCTTGGGCTTCCTCCGGAATTTGACGACCCCCAGGTGCCTGTCCCACGCCGTCCCTGTCCGAGATCCCAGAGCCACAGCTGGGTCAGGGAGCCCTGGGGTTTTTTTCTTTTTTCCACCTTTTTCTGCGGCTTTAAAGTCAAGTCCTTTGACACCTCCCCCCCCAACTGGAGCGGGCAGTGTGCATGAGCCCCCGTGAGACGGGAAATGCAGAGTCCCCTGCTCCCTGCGACACTGAAGGGACACGGCTGAGCCCCCGGCTGTGATTCCACAGGGTGAGCGAGCACGAGGGTCACGAGGTCCAAGCCAGCCTCAGCAGCTCTGCGAGACCCTGTTGCTAAATAAAATACTCAATAAGGGACTGGGGATGGGGGCTCAGGAGTCGAGGGCCCCCTGGGCTCAGTCCCCGGGACCCAACAGGGGAAAAAGAAAAGAAAAAGTGGTGACTTCAAGGCGAATTACTTTTGCTCCCTTGGACTGATGACTTCACTTCTCTGTCCCTTGGCGCTTTACAAAGTAGGCATGGACGCAGGAGTCATCCCCTACTTCTTTGGGCTTAGTCAAAATGCGATCTGATCCTCTGCCACGCAAAAATGTTATTCCCTGCCTCTAGATAGTTCTGCCCAGGTTGCCAGGACAAGCCCTTAGGTAGATGGCATTACAGAGGCAGAAGGTGGGCCTGGGGCCAGGAGTGACCCGCCCCGCTCGAAAGTGCAGAGATAGCAGCTTTAAAATGAGGGAAACCATCTTCCCCCAAAACCTGGGCGTGTGGGTGCTTTGTCCTGGGGCTGTCTGACTCCCAGTTGTGCAAGGAAGAGGAATTGGAATCTCTTAGTCCTCTTTCAGTCACTAAGCCGTTGGCACCTGGTCCCTACCCTCACTTCATATCCGTGGTGCTTCCCAGAGAAGGGCAGACAGATTGGAGGACACACTGACACAGAACAGTAGCTAGAGGAGAACTTTGACCCCTGCAGGTTACACACCTGCCCGTCATGTGTGCCCACTACTCCTGGCAACGGCCAGTTCAGTCACTGGACACCAGCCTTCTCATCCACTCAAGGGCATTTATTTCCTTTCTCTTCCATATCAATTGCTTTCTCTATTGAACTATTCAAGCTTTGTCCCTGAGTGTCATCAGAGTCAGCAGTGACCTCCATGATGTCACATCTAAAAGGACCTATTCTCAGTCCTCCTCCTCCTAAGTCCACCGGTGGCCCCTGACACAGTTCAGTGCTCTGTCCCCTTGGCTGCACTTTATCCATCTACCTTCTGGAAACCAGTCTCTCCCAGTGTCCTGTGCTGGTTTCTTCTTGGCTCCTTCACCTCTAGATGATCGCCCATGGTTCCCACCAGCCTGATTGCAGTTGGGATTTTCTAAGGTGCAGCATAGGACCATCTCTTTATATCTATAATTACCCTCTTGATGGCCTAGCTTAGTGTCCTGGCTTTAAATGCCATCTATGTCCTCATGACTCAAACTTGCTTCTCCAGCTTGTATTTCTTTCCTCAGTTCTAGACCTTTTTTTGTCTACCTTTCTGCTCAGAAGCTCCATTTCGGTGCTGTCATGGGCATCTGTAATTAACATATCTGCTGGGGTTTATTTATTTAGGTTTTGCCATTAGGAATTGAACTTACTTAGTGCTTACTCACTGAGTCCCATCCCCAGCCCTTTTTATATTTTATTTAGAGACAGGGTCTCACTGAGTTGCTTAGGGCCTCACTAAGTTGCTGAGGCTGGCCTCCAACTTGCGATCCTCCTGCCTTAGCTTCCTGAGCTGCTGGGATGACATGCATGTGCCACCGCATTGAGCTGTATCTGGAAGTTTATTCCTGGACCCCATCCAGTCCTGCACCTCCCACTAGCCTAATTTTCCACAGCTAATGAAAGGGCTTTGCCAGTCTCCTGGCGTCACCTTTGATTCCTCTTATTCTCAGAGTTTTCTGTACCTTCGGGTCCTCTTTAAACCCGACCAGTGTTAGGTACCTTCCCTTCATCGACCCTGAATCAGGCTGCCACCATCTGTGAAGCATTCTGGGTCTTGAGCAGGTCTGTGGCAGTGATACTTAAAACCTCAGAACAGGGACAGACCTTCCAGACCCTCAAGCCAGGGGTTACCATACTGCCCTTAGTTGTCCCGCTGTCCCTTGGCTTCCTGAGTCTTAGGTGGTTGACGGGCAGGGCTTGCTGCTCTCTAAACTTGCAAACWCCCTCTGGGATGTGCCCCATTCCCTGCTGGTCTGATGGTGTCAACGTTTGCTCTTTCCCACCTGGGGTCCTCCCTCCTGCAGCAGTGATCCTTTGCTGGTGGCTTTCAGGTGCCAGCCTGCCTCTTGTCCCCATCCCGAATCAATTCCCCCTCAGGACACGCAAGGCCCAGACGACCAAAGAGACCTTGAACACAAATGTGATGAGGGCAGTTGTGGCCTCTGTGTCCTCGTAGAAAGGGACATCTTTGTGCTAAGGCTGCCCGGTGAGAGTCACCTGTGTGTTCTCTCTCTAGACCCCTGGATGACAGTGTCGTGAGGGGAGATTAGGGGTTCCCACCACTCAGCTGTCACTTTGGTTAGGGCCAAAACCCTGCAGTCCTGGGGCCAGAGAGGAGCAGACAGACTGGAGGACACACTGACACAGTTCAGTCAGGTGACTGATTCGAGGTGCAGGGTACAAGGAGGTGGAGGACTCGTCTGAAGTACTTCCTGGGTCACCTGGTGACCCAGGAGGTGACCTGGGTCCCAAGAGGAAAGGCAGAGCCCCTGGCCCTGACTTATAGTTCCTCTTATTCTCATCATTCACGTGTTTTCTGTCCCTTCTGGTGATCCATCCATGCTAGGCCTCTCTGTGTCCAAAGCCACATCCTCATGTCATGGCATCAGCTGAAGGGGGACTGGAACCCGGAAGGCCCATGGTTCAGGTCACTTCCAGATGAATTCAAAAGCCAGCAGGGCGTCCTGGCCTCGTTGACCGTTCACGGTGACAAATCAGAGCCTGGAAGCTAAGTCACTCTGTAGGCCACAGCTGTGGACAGGAGCAGAGCCAGAACAGACACTGAGATTTAGTTCCTGCATCTTGCAGCACACATGACCTGTTTTGAATGTCCCAGGGGCCTTTGAAATGATCAGGATCATGTGGGATTAAAGTGAGATTGTCTGAGAGAGGCCTTGGAGTGGCCCAGTCCCCACATCTAAGGAGCAGCCACGCCCAGGCTGAGTTCAGGTTGATGTGTTGCACAACCAGGCCTCGCCCCGTGACCTTACCCTGCACACCCTCAGCACAGGGAGCCTTGATCAGTCGCGAGGCGAATAGTGGGATCCTCCTCTCTGGCACAGTAAGCTCAGGGAGTCACTGGCAGTGGCAGGAGGGACAGCAGCTCTGGGGAGTCAGGCCTGCAACCGCAGTGTGTTCTCCAGTAGCAGCCTTTTTTTGAGGGGAGGGTGTGCCAGAGATTGAACCCGGGGCCCTCGACCACTGAGCCCCGTCCCCAGCCCTATTTTGTGTTTTATTTAGAGACAGGGTCTCACTGAGTTGCTTAGTGCCTCGCTTTTGCTGAGGCTGGCCTCCAACTTGTGATCCTCCTGCCTCAGCCTCCCAAGCTGCTGGGATTCCTGGTGGCACACACCTGGAATCCCAGCAGCTCTGGAGGCTGAGGCAGGAGGATCACGAGTTCAAAGCCAGCCTCAGCAATTTAGTGAGGCCCTTAGCAACTCAGTGAGACCCTGTCTCTAAATAAAACACAAAACAGGGCTGGGGATGGGGCTCAGGGGTTAAGTGCCCCTAGGTTCAATTGCCAATACTAAGTAGTAGTAATAATAATAATAATAATAATAATGCTTAGTAAATGTTTGTCATTTTTAGAAAGGAGTCTTTCCATTTCTAGAGGTTAGCCAAGATGAACTTAACGAAATCAATCAGTTTGTGGGACCCGTGGAAAAATTCTTCAATGAAGAAGGTAGGTGTGGTTTCTTCATCATCTCTCATTTTCCTTGTAAGAGTGATTGCATCAATATTTTTTCAAATATATATTTTAGTTGTTGACGGGTTTTATTTTATTTATGTGTGGTGCTGAGAATCAAACCAGTGCCCCACGCATGCTATGCAAGTGCTCTACCACTGAGCCATGGCCCCATCCTGCATCGATATTTATATTAGGAGCAGTATCAGTATAAAGGAGGCCCCCTTGAGTGTCATTAATTCATAATACTTTGCTTTAGGGACCATACAAATTGCTGCTTTATTAAAAGCTTTAATTAAAAGCTACCTGAGATTCAGGCTCAGTGCTGCACGCCTATAATCCCGTGGTTCAAGAGGCTGAGGCAGGAGGATCCCAAGTTGGAGGCCAGCCTCAGCAACTTAGAGAGGATTTCAGCAACTCGGTGAGACCCTGTCTTAAAATGAAATATATAAAAAAGGGCTGGTGATGTGGCTCAGTGGTTAAGTGCCCCTGGATTCAATCCCTGATACCAAAGGAAAAAAAAAAAAACACTAAAAATTAAAAATAAACAGTAAAAAGTTTTTAATGTGGATAAAGTGCAAGTTTTTTCTTTGCTGGTTTGTGCTCTTTGGATCGTATATGGGAAAACTGCCAGGTCCATAACAATTTTCATCTGTCTTTTCTTTTAAGAGTTCCAGAGTTAGATAACTCTTACATTTAGATCTGTGATGTGACCCAGGTTAATTCGGTCTGTGGCATGGGGTAGAAGTTTGAGGATGACTTTGGGGGTTTTGAAACAATGGGACAATATCCAACCATTCAGCTGTGTTTGCTATAAAGATTATTCTTTTCCCATTGAATTAACCAAACACCTCCATCAAAACTAGATGGATCATTTAAGTGTGGGTCTGTTTTGCATCCTACATTCTCTCCTCTTCCCACAAACATCCCCTTGACCTATTTACTGGGCCTTCTAATAAGCTCAGAACTGGGCAGTGCTGGCCCTTCAGTTTGGCTGTCTTCTGAAGTCATGTGGATTCCAGGCCTTTTGGACTCCCAGGGAGTTTTAGAATCAGCTTTCTGTTCTCAGCAGGCCTGCGGCATTGACTGGGGTTTCAGAAAGTTCATGAATCAGTGTGATGAGGAACTGAGAGTACAGCATCTTGGCCTATCTCCCCCCTTATTTAGGTCATTTTATTTTCTCTTAGTATTTTATGTGTGGGGTTTTTAGTGTATAGGCCTTGAATAATTTGTGCCAAAAATTCTGAATAGGGGGCTGGGGCTGTGGCTCAGTGGCAGAGCACTTGCCTGGCATGTGTAAGGCAGTGGGTTCGATTCTCAGCACCACATAAAAATAAAGTTCATTGACAACTAAAAAATTTTTTAAAAAGTGTTCTTGATGGGCCAGGTATTGTGGCACACACCTGTCATCCTAGTGGCTGGGGAGGCTGAGGCAGGAGGATTGGTTCAAAGCCAGCCTCAGCAATAGCAAGGCCCTAAGCAACTCAGGGAGACCCTGTCTCTAAGTTAAATACAAAATAGGGCTGGGGACGGGGCTCAGGGTTTGAATGTCCCTGAGATCGATCCCCAGTAACCCCCCAACACACACACACACACACACACACACAAACACAAAAGCATTACCATAACACACAGGAAGGACATACTTTCTAATCCTGTGCTAGAGACTGTTCCCTTTTGCCCTCATGGGTGTGCGTGTTGATGGGGGATGAATGAATCGCTACTGATCAGACTGAAGGCTGAGGCAGGAGGATTGCTAATTGGAGGCCAACCTCAGCTGACCCTAAGCAATGCAGCAAGACCCTGTCTCTAAATAAAATATAAAAAGGGCTGGGGCTGGGGCTGAGCCTGCAGACTGTGGTGACACCGTGGAGGCTTTTGGACAGTGGGGTGAAGGGAGCCCCGGTCACTGCCTGGATGGGGGGATTGGCCTAGTGTTGCAGCCATACACCAGGAGTTGTGTGCCTCCCCATCTCCTGGACAGTCGAGTCAAGCATGTGCAGGCATCTGCATCTCATAAGCGTGCAGTTGACCGCCATCTCACATGGCTAAGGCACCAGGCGACCAGTGACCAGGTCAGCAGACAGCCACCTAGCCCTGCTGGCTTTAAATCACAATTCTACAAACTACATCAAATCAAGTCAGTGATTCGATGTGACCATCACTAGACAGTTTTGAGAATTTTCGAGAATCCTTCTAGAAGTTTCGAGCAGTTTTGAGAAACTGCTGGCACTGGGGTTGTATGCTCTGCAAAAAACATTCTGAGTCCCTTTCTCTGCATGAAGATGGCTTGCTCATATTTTGCTTCATCAAGACGTTTTCTTTTCTCAGTGGATTCTCAGAAAATTGACTGGGAGGGGAAAATCCCAGAAGACACCCTGGAAAAGTTGAAAAGCCTGGGCTTCTTTGGAATGCAGGTCCCGGAAGAGTATGGTAAGTGGAGGAGCCTCCCCAGTTGGTGTGGCTCGTCAGGGTCACTCTGCATTTCCCTGAGAGGCTGCTGTTCTGAAGGTACACCACCTAGACCAAATGGTGGCCCTGGACCTTTGCCCTGCCTGTCCCTGGGCCTTGCTGGGGAGGCCTCCACCAGCCATTAATGGAGGCTCTGCAGGTGTGGGCGAGACAGGGCTCGGTGGTGCTTTCCTTAAAGCACATTCAGGCACATTTCTGGGCTGCAGCGGGTCCTTTGGAGATGCACTGTTGAGTGTGTTTCACGAGTTGGACTTTCCACAGCCATCCACAGAAGCGTCTCTTTCTGTTCTCTTCCCTGCCTGGTCTCTAGGGAGACCTTACTTTCTGCAGCAGAGGATAGGTGCTGTCAAATCTATACCATAATTTCCTCTTGGTCCCTAACCTAGAGCTGGTCCACAGCAGGGAGGTATTTCTGCTCAAAGAAACTGGGGAACATACACATCATTTTGCCTAATTTTACTGTCTCAGAACCTGACACCTCTCACTGTTAGTGAATGGTCTCTTAAAGTTCTCTCACATGCTCATGATGTTATTCCCAGAATTGACATGTTTAGGCCTAATGGTGTCTCTTATTTGGGGAATGAGCACATGTTGGTTATTATCATGGTGAAAGGACACAGCAGTTGTGAGTGCCTGCATGACAGGTGGCACAGTGATGGAAGAGGAGTGTATTTGAATGGGGAAGTTGATTGCAATATTAGGGGAGGATACTAGAGAGAGCAATCATTTAATTGGAGTTTAAACACCAAGGGCAGTGGAGGTCATAAAGATCTGCAGTTGAGGGCAATCAGGGCTTTAGCTATAAAGGGGATGGGTCTTCCAGGGGTAAGGTCATTGTCCCAGAGCTTTCCAGCAAGTTGTTAATTTCACAGAATAATATAATTTGCCCAATAGTGGAAAGGGCACTCAAGATTCATTCTCAACCCTACCAAAAAAACTCTTCCATGGTGACATAGCTAATTCTGTACTCACATATTGGGGAGGACATTACATTTTGCAGAATCTTCATGCTACTGTTTTTATAAACATAGAAAAGAATACCTCAGATGGTCCCTGACAGAGCTGAGGGGTTTGATCTGAATTTACTAAGTATAAAAAGGAAGGCTGGAGTGTTCCTGTCCTTGACCCTGGGAAGATAATGTCAACATTTTTTTGACCTGAAGACTGGCACTGCAATTGTGTGTCTAATTCTGCAGTCTGTCCCAAGGTATCTTATGTTTCTCTCTATCAGATTACCTTGAGACAATTAAATATTTCATTAAAGCAAAGGCTCCTTAGGTTCTGTCTCACAGTTATCATCTTATGAATCATTGACTTCATTGCATTCAATGTCCAGTTTTGAGGAAATTTAATATATATTACCTACAAGATACAAAGTATATAAAAATAGATTTTTTTAAATTATTCAGAATCTGCTTAACCTCAGCATGAATAGGTATTCAAAACTATTTTCTTATTTGATTAACCTGTAGATCATATAAAATCATATCTATTATAATCCCTTACCATAGATGTGAAAATGAAGTTTCAGAAGTTACCCATTCTGGACACACAATTCTTGAGTGCAAGGGCCATTACACAATTGACTTTCCAATGAAGATATGTTTTGATTTGCAGCCCTGTGAGTTCCTTGGAAGACATTGGACTAGTGAACCTTGTAAACACAGGAACCAAAGAGTAGTTTAAGCAGGGGAGTGATATGATTAGATTTTTGCTCTTAAAACATTACTCCAGTGATAATATGAGCCACTCAACTTTGTTTGTGAAATTAGGCTTGCTTCAAAACTTCTCATGAGAGAGGGGTGAGACTGTACTTTGCAAAGAGAAACTAACAGATTCCAAAATACAAGTACTTACAAATTAGAAAATGAAAGGAAAATTTTATTATACACAGTAAAAATAATAGTTTGATTTGGTGCAGGAGTCACCTATCACACAAAAACACTTTATGACACAGTAGATTCTATGAGACACCCAACTCCATTCTGGCCCTTAAGGGTCTTTCACATATTGTTTGTGTTTCATTAATTCATTGAAACAGCAAATATTTCTTTTTTTCCAGGTACCTTCTTTATGTGCTTTAGATTCAGCAGAGAACAAAAATGGACAAAAGATTTCTGCTTTCTGAAAACTTAAATTTATCTGAGATACAGAAAATATGTTCAACATATAAGTTACATAAAATGTTTGATTTGAAATAAAGTATAAAGTAAGAAAATTTTTTAATGTCCCCTCATGGTAGAAATTAAATGATGCTAACAAATTAAGGAAAATGATTTGTACAAGAAATGAAAGGAACTGAAATGTCCTCTGCAGTTCAAAATTCATGAGAAATTCTATTGTGAGTACAAAGTTTCATTGCAGCACACTGTTTTCAGCTGACAGAAATGTTACTCTGAAAAACTGTGTTTATATTTATACATGCCTTATAATGTGTGTGTGTTTGTGTGTGTGTGTGTGTGTGTGTGTGTGTGTGTGTGWGAGAGAGAGAGAGAGAGAGAGAGAGAGAGAGAGAGAGAGAGAGAGAGATTCATAATGGCTTGGGTAAGAAAAAATTTTAAAATGTGATGTCAATAGTTAAAAATGACCTGGAATACTGTTTCCCCATTATTTTTGCAATAACCAATTCTAGGGCTTTATGTTATTGTTGTTGGTAGTGGTGGTTTATGTATCTTATTTCAACAGAATCCCCTGCTTGTAACAGAGTTGGCTTGAGTCATGTTCTTCTATAACCTGTTCTAAAAACAGCCCAATCTCCTAATTATTGGAGTCTGCTGGAGCAGAGGTTTTCTAAGTGTGGTTTTAATGCCAGCAGCTTCAGACTCATAGAATGGCTATGAAAGCCCATTCACAGGACTTATCTGTAGTGGCAATGATAGTGGTCATCTGCCAGGCCAATTTCCTCATTAGCCTAGAAGGTAAGAGGCACTCTGAGAAAGGACATCTTAGAAGTCACTGGCATTTACCAGAATGGGAGGGGTCCTCCCATGGAGGTGCTTGGAATCCTGTGATTGGAAGAGTTCAGATACAATCTGGTAGATCCTCTTGAACAGAATTCATAAAAGTAGCACCTAATGGCTGTATCCACACCACTCTATTTTATTTATTTATTAATTCCTTGGGCAAAAATTTGTATCAAAACACAGTTACACCATGTGTTTGTGTCAAGGTATTGGATTTGAACTCTAAATAGGTCATATTGTCAATAATCTTTGCAGCTTATGATTTATAGAACATCACCATTCAATATATTTTGCTATTATGGAAATATCCTGTGTCTATCCTGTCCAATCCTGTAGCTTCAAGCACATGATATTTTGGCATATATATCCCACAACAAAAGAACAGAGTTTATCACTTTGATAGATTACATAGCCAATGGCCACAAAATTGGGTTGCATCATTCTAGGACACAAAAGCAGAAAATGGACCTTTATTTATATGTAGTGCTGAGAGTCAAAACCAGTTCCTCACACATGTTATGTGAATGCTATTCCTCTAAGCCACAACTCCAGTCCCTTTATCATGTTGTTTATAAAGAAGTAAACCTAAAATATTATTGTATGAGTAAAGATAAGTGAGGGTTTTTTTTTGTTTGTTTCTTTTTTAACATTAATTTTTTAGTTGTAGGCGGACACAATACATTTATTTATTTATTTATTTAATTTAGTGACACTGAGCATCAAACTCACTGCCTCACACATGCTAGGTGAGGGCTCTTCTTCTGAGCTACAACCCCAGCTCCAAGTATTTTTAAAGTTACCTTTGGCCCTCTGATTTTTGGTATAAAGAATCTAAGAAATAACCTAGTYCAGATCTTCTCATTTTGTAGGAAAAAAGGGGGAATTCAGAGAAATGACTAAAACATATTGAGTTGCATATCACATTAATGGAAGATTAAGTTCATATACAAATAAATAATAGGACCTCAAATAAAACAGCTGTAATTTGATTATGTTCTTTTCCATATGATTCTGGAAAATGTGGCTTTAATCAGCATTTGAACCTATTTGTACATCTGAAAAAAGTACTACCTAGACACTATGTATATAAATAATCATTTACATTAGGCTTCAATGAAAAAATCTATTTTGTAACACTTTTACAGAGGAGTACTGGTAACCCTTCTTTGATTCATTTTTATGTTTTATAGGTATCACTTTCAAAAATTTCCTTACATTGAGGTTGTTTAGATACCTCTGAGGCGTCAATTTCATGGGTGTTTCTGAACCATCTAAAATCATATGCCAGATTTAGTTAGAAAGTTCTTAAAGTTCAACTTCTCTCAAGGTAAAAATGTGTTTTCATTCTATGGTTTTTCTCACTATTTTTTCTTATCTTTCTTGGAAGATGCTTACTTTTCTCCATAAGATAGTGCTGGTGCTACCTTAATTTAGAATTCAGTGTTTATCCAAATAAAGATGTCAGATTGTGGGCTGAGGTTGTGGCTCAGAAGTACAGCACTCACCTAGCACATGTGAGGCACTGAGTTCAATCCTCAGCATCACATATTAGCTATCTATTGAACACTTTCCAAGTTCTTCATGAACTTGAACACCAAGAAGTCAAAAATGAGAAACTGTGTATTAAGGACTATATAGTTTAGGATCTCACTGATAGCCTGTCTCTAAACAAAATGCAAACAAGGTCTAGGGATGTTGCTCAGGGGTTGAGTGCCCTTAAGTTCAATCCTTAATACTAACATAATAATAATAATAATAATAAAATATTCAAAATAAACTAATCCCCAGTAACGGGCATTAATATTTTATTGTTTGTGCTTTGATAGAAAAATAAAATTACAAGTATGCTCTGGTAAGTCTGAGATATAATAGTCATACAAAAATTATATCTATTTTTGCAATGTATAGTATATGTAAAAATGTCTCATTAAATGACAGGTCTACACTCTTAAAAATGCACTCAAAGTGATTTTGCCATTTTTGCAAATATCATACTGTGTACTGACATTTAGATTGTATATTACTATAACCCAAGGCTATATATCATAGCTATTGTATATAATATACATCACTGACGAAAAGGTCACTGTGCTACACATTATTGTATGTTATAAACTTAGAGAGATCAGTATATACATCATAATGTTATAAATAAATAGACCTGTAAAACTAAAGAGAGATTCTTATTTTTTATTTATTTATTTATTTTAGTTGTAGGTGGATGCAATGTCTATATTTTATTTTATTTTATTTTTATGTGGTGATGAGGATTAAACCCAGTGCTTCACTTGTCCTAAGCGAGCATTCTACCATTGAGCCATAATACCAGCCCTAAAAAAAGAATCTTTCAAAAAAAATCTTTACAATCAGACAATGAAAAATGAAAGTTTCCACTAATGAGAAATAGAAAATATTCATCATTTCTAAAGAAAGCTGCTGGAACTATGGGGTATCTGTGTGATACAAAACAAAGTGATTATAATCATGCTTAATATAGCAATAAATCTTTCAGAGATAATCAATATGTAACTATAAAACATTCAATAGTTACTATATAAAAAGGGATTTTATTGTGAATCTGTTGTACATGCTCAAAATAGCAACTGCTTGAGAGGTTATGGAAAAACTAATTTTCTCAGAAAAAAATGCTGAATGTCTTCTTTGATATAAAGAGGCTGATTCATAGTGAGGTAGGGAGGGGGAGCATGGGAGGAAAAGACAAACTCTAGATAAGGCAGAGGGGTGGGAGGGGAAGTGAGGGGGTATGGGGATAGAAATGATGGTTGAATATGTTGAACATCATTATTCAAAGTATATGTAAGAAGATACAAATTGGTGTGAATATACTTTGTATACTACCAGAGATATAAAAAATATGCTCTATATGTGTAATAAAGCATTGTAATGCATTCTACTGTCACATATAAATAAAATAATAATAATGAAAAAGAAATTTCAAGAAGAGAATGAACAACTTACTGAGACTCTATTTCATTTAACATTAAGACTGGGGTCTAGTTTTGAACAGAAGAGCACCCTTTGTTTCAATTGTAAGAACGACACAGCAACGTGGAACTTATTTCTTTTCAAAGTTGCACAAAACAAAATGTTACAAAATTATTAAATTGTGGATTAAAATAATCAATAAATGAAGTCATCCATTAAAGGGTAAAAAGTAACAGGTAAAATAAATTACCTGATACATGACAAAATACATTTAATAAGACAAAGATAATAAGAAAAGAACAGCCAAGTGATTTGAATAGCCTCTTTATACAGGTGATATCTAAGTGCTCAGTACTCATAGAAATATTAGCATCTTAAGAAATTAGAAAAAGACTAAATATAATAAAACCAAATACATACAATTAAACAGTACTCATGAAGATGTGGTGTGAAAAGTTCTTATAAACTACAGATAAAATATAAGTTGTTGTTTCTTTGTAAAAATTGTGTGTCTATTGAAGTATATGATTCTCCCCCACCAGTAGTACTAAATATAGAAATGATTGCCCTTATAAACCCTAATAACATAGAAGAGTAGGGCTGAATTGTCCATAGTGTTGAAATCTGTAGGGTGGAGGAAAAGAGAATGTGCACATTTGTAAGAAGATACAAATAATAAAGGGTGAGTAAAATGGTTTCTAAGTTTGAGACACATTTTGTCCACACTACATTAAGTTTAACCAATAGTACAAAACATCATGTCAGTATTATATAAATGGAACATTTGTATACTACTTCAAACAGTGCATATATATTGTAAAAGAAAATATGTAGAATTTATGGGAAAATAAAAACTTGGACAAGTACATAAAAGGCCCAATTACACACATGTGTTTAGATACTACTCATCATTACAAAGACAATGATTTTCCCTTAATGTAATCTTTAATATTTTTCATCAAAATTTTAGCATGTGGGGCTGGGGTTGTTGCTCAGCAGTAGAGCGTTCACCTAGCACATGTGAGATACTGAGTTCAATTATCAGCACCATGTAAAATTAAATAAATAAATAAAGGTATTATGTATGACTACAACTATGAAAAAGAAAACATTAATAGAGAAATTTTAGCATGATTATTTTTTAAAGGAAAGAGACCAGAAAGAAGAAATTCTTTGAAGGAAAAGTAT